TACAGACAGGGCATCCTTGGGACAGATCTGTCATCATCTACATATACTGTCATAATTCCAATTTTCACATGAAAAAAAAGAATTAGTGCGACGAGTAACCAAAACCCAATTCATCAGCCCGGTAGGTACAGACGATGGCTGGCATGGCGTCATCAAACAGGATAGCGAATTCCCACCCGAGAGGGGCAGATAGTAGATACCATCTCTACCTACATCGGTAACGGAATTACCATCCATCCGAGACACCATTATCATTATCGTTATCATTATCGTTCGAATCGATGTCTCACATCTGACATCAACTAATTAATATAATAGGCCTGCTTATTCTGCCCTTTCGCCCATCGTGTCAATAGTCAATTATCGTCCGCCACTTGAAAGGTGTGACCTGACCTGACCTGACAGAAATACTCCGTCGTGTGTCCGTACTGTATGTACCGCAAGGGCGATCGATTCGAAGGGTTGCCCCGGATGGAGATTCATTCCCCCGGTCCGACGACAACGGTCGATAGGCTCTTTGAAAGCGAGTTATACCTCCACCAAGTCTAAGTCTACTTCATGGCTGATGGAGAGTACTGTACAGTACATACAAAGGGCGGTATTTTTCTGTGCTGTTGCTGTGGGATACGATAAGAAAACGAATACGGCTGTGAGCAACGTAGGATTGATTGATTGATTGATTTGCCTACTGCTAGGAGTAGCATTAATAAACGCTGATTAGTATTTTTTTTCTCGTAGGAAAGTGCAGAGCTCCTCCGATGGCTTCCGACGGCATTCATTCAATTCCTTGATCTCGCTGGACCTCGCACTAAATCGATCGCATCTCTGAATGGATACAACGAGTCCTGAAAAGAGGGGTGTACTGTATGTACATGTACAGTACATACAAGGCCGGATTCACCTCCTCTCAGGAGGAGTACGAGTCACTACAAGAACGTCTTCGGCTCGCTGAACAAGCTAGAGGAGATTGATTGTGGCTAAGAATCTCACGGCGGGCCGTTCATATGACCTGGGGAAGGAAAGACATAATGTAATGACCGAGTTAGATATAGATCCGGTTCGACACGGTCTATCTACGTCCAGCATTATTTTTATTGGAACGTGCCCGCGTGTAAGGGAGACGACGCACTGATTTCAAGCACATTAATTAAGGAGAACGTGAGTTTCTTGATAGGTTGATAGAGAATCAGCTGTTGATCCCGTCTCCGCATGTGGCAGTACTGTACTGTACATACACCAAAGAGTCATCATCATGACATCAATCAATCCCAAAGCGACTAATTACGCCGTAGAAGACGGTGTGGAGACGGATACATATCAGCAAGGCTGAGAATACCTACTCCGTAGGTGGGGTCAAGATGTCAAGATGGCGGCTGTGATCGAGTACGGTGCGATGTACTCCAAGTCTGAAGTTTCTCTGATGGAGGTGGGCCACCACCCACCACGGACTTCGTAGGAAAGATCAGGTGATTAGATTAGGCTAGACTATGGAGGAGGGACTTTACTGGTGAATCGGTTATCGTTTGAGACCTTTGGCTGTTGTGAAAGTGAAAGTCTGCAACTGCACCTGCAACAACCAGTGGCAATAATGATGAAGGTGATAGAAATCCATCGAAAAAAAAATCCATCGAATATGTGAGGAAACTTTTGGCTTATGTGCGAAAAGGGCTATCCTCTTTTCTTTTCTTTTCTTTTCATTTTACCATTTTTTTTATTTTAATTGCTTTTCTTTTTTTCTGTTAGTTACGTCATCTGCATCTCATTAAAAGAAAAAAAAGATCGTCTTCAGAGGTTAATAAAATCTGTAGAGGTGGAGGATAGGATCAGGTTGTCTGGGTTGCGGATTCTATTTTTATATATTTTTTTTTCTGTGGTGGTGTATTACGTCAGATGGTGATTCCTATTTCCCATGCATATGTAGATTAATTTTTTTTATTCCACACTCTTAACAGCTGAGTGATACTACTAGGTACATACATGCTACAGTATTCTCTACAGACGTAGGTATTCTACTACTGTGCTGTGTTGTTGCCGAATTTTTCCATATGCTGTAGTTTTGGTTTTTGTATACAGAAGCAAGCACTTTGGCAATTGTGGAGTAAATACCGATTTAGTTGCATCCTGACATATTATTATTGCTAGTAATAATTTCTACTACAACAGCAATAATAAGCGAAAAAATAAAGAATTAATTCTGCCAAGGTAGATAAGTGACCGGGTACTTTTGTACTGATCGATAAGAGAAATATTAATCAGCGCCCGTTGATTGGGCTGTTGTGAGATCTTGCACCCGAACACTTTCAAGACTGTGATCCTGGACACAATACAGAGTACTTCGTATGAAGTACAAAGTACAGGTTACTGCTCTTGCCAATGTAGACACTGCTTACTGACGCATAAAGTCATGTCCTGATGATATGACAGGGGCAGAGAAACCTCATCTGGCCGTGTCCCCCTTGCAGTTGGCTGGCGCATCACCGCCCCCGGACGCGTGTGTGGCGCTCCACCAACCCACGTTCTTGACCAAAGAGAATCCAGGCTCATTCCTGTGACGAATCCATTCACTTCCCCCAAAACACAGGACTGAAACGAAAACAAAATTAATTAATTTATGCCAACCAGGGGGTTAAGAAAGAAGGGAAAAAAAAAAGAAAGGGGGTTTCGAGAGGCCGGAGACTGGCCGGCAAAGCGTTGGGGAGAGATTCTCGAAAAATTCTGCCAGATTCAAAGTTTTAGCAGGGACGATCAAACGGCTTGACGCTCTCTTAATGTCCGGCAGCTGCCTAGCTTTTGTCTAGGAGAGCTTTTAGAATGAGAATGCCGTTGGTTGGGACGCGAGCTCCAGCGCTCCACTCGCCGTTGCTTGGCGGCACCGAGCGCGCATGCCTTAGGAGTAACAATTCCTACGACGTTCTCCGTACAGTAGTCGATAAAGGATTGTGGTCGATCAAAATCCGTTTCCAACAAGTACGGTCCTGTACAGAGTACCCTTTCCAGTATGGTGAAATAGCTAGTTGTTCCTTTGCCAGGGTTTCTGTCCCGAATTCGTCGAGGACGGAGTACTCCGTAGTACTACGTAGAAAGAGAAACGGCTCAAAGAATCTTCCCTCTTTGAAAGATGTCAGTGTAGAGTAGAACGCCACGTCCAGAAAAAGAAGGCAAAGAAATACCCTATAAACGGGGTGGACTGCGGAGAGACGTCATGCCCGCTTGACAGGGTCCCCCGACATTCCACTGCGCATGAAGACTGACATGATGACAATCATTCTTCGTCTCGGGGTATATTCCCTTCATACCGCACCTGAGACATCACAGGAAGCGCGGCTCCAAAGCTGTATGCCTGCCGAAAAGGAGACAACAAAAGGGTGATGCTGAGACTCGACAGTGTGCAAAATTCTCTGATGACTTGTCCCCTGGCCGTCCTGAACAAAGCGTCATATAGCGGTGACCTGTCGCGACTGCGTGTCAGTGCCAAGCTTCTTTAGCTTAGGGATTGACTGTCGATCACGCGTCAGAGACATTCGAGAGATCAGATACTGAGCTTGGTCGAGTCGTATCAAAAACAATGATCTTGCAAGTTGCCACGGGCAGCACAGTGTAGACAGTATCCGTCATTTGTCCATGCCTATCTTGATGGCAGCGACGGCAGAAATCGCGAACTGCAGCTAGGCTGGAGGAAGCAGCCAGCTGGCTCTAGGGGAACCGTGGCGCCTGGCGGCTTGGCTGGAGCGATCTGGCAGCCGAGCGGCTAAGCCTCAGCGCCTGGCAGGAGAAACGCCCCTGGCGCGCTGGATGATGGATCACTTGCGGATCATTTGCCCCCCAGACCCTCTCTCTAGCCGTTTCTGAGGGACAAAGGATTAGCTGCTGCCGGTGTGTCAAGTCACGGCCCAATCAGTCGCTGCTCGAGGCAGGGCGTGTGGATGTCGCGCTCCACTGCCTCTGCATTCCGCCATCCTCGCGGCAGCAACCGGATTCCTCGTGCTGGCGATGGACGCGTTTCCATGGCTGCCAAGTCGTCGCCTGCATTGCCCAGCGCCCTGTTTCTGCCGTTCCTCAGGCGCATGTGTCACTAGCTGTGACTAGCAGTGCCGAGGGCTGCAGTGCCAACGGCACTCCCGCCACTACTGCCGGTTTCTATCTATACGGGCCACTGAGCGCGGGCCCCGTCGGGCTGCCCGTTCCAGCGCAGGTCAAGAACGCCCGTCCTCTTTAGCCTGCTTAGTCCACACACTGACCAGGCACCTGCATGCCACCTCCCAGCATTCTCCCTCCTTAGCTCTCTTTCTCCGCAGGCTGCTTCATCTCGTTCTTATTGGGTCTGGTCGTCGTTTTGTTTTGATTGCTGTTCTTTGCGGGACGAGGGACTGCGTCGCTGCCACAACAGTCTCTTATCTGCTTCCCTCCGTGCTCCTCCTCCCGTGCTATCCACCCGTCCAGTATCCGCCCACGCCTGCTTGGGGACGATCTACCACTGCCAAAGCCCGGTAGATCGTGTCCTGTCCGTTCGCTGCCACCCTGTTCACTCACCTAGTCGGTCTTTACCTCCCCGAGCCTGCTTTTTTGCTGTTGTTTTCTTCCCTCCCCTTTGAGTGGTGGTGCGATTTACGCCAGCAGGTTGTCGTGTGCAAGGGATTTTGGTCTCAGTCGACTTTTGAATCAAAAAAAAAATCTTTGCCCGTTCTTTCGGACCTGATCACCGCTCGAGAAAGGGGATGGTTGGGCGCATGGTCGATGACGGCAGCTTCTCGATTCTGACAGTCCTGCAAACCTGCTTCGCCACGACAGTTACATGTGCCAGAAACCCGCAACGCCCATCCCCGTGAAATCACGAGCTCGCCGTCAATCGAGATACCGGCTTTCGTCCTAGACTTCCAGGCGGAGAGGACACCGGACACAGAACCGAATTATCCGAGGATACACCTCGATTGTGCTCATATCGTGCCAGGACGGATCCAGTCTCGTGGTCGAGACGGTCCGTTTCGATCTCCTCTTAGAAGATGACTGAGAACACAAGCACGAGTCCTCCGCAGGGCTCTCGGAGCACACCTCACATCCGGCTCAACTCTGGCCGCCAGGATCCCTTTGTCGACATGGATGATGGGGGCAGTAGCCAGAGATCACAGTCGCCCGCGACTCGAACACTGACTCCCGGTCCACAATCGCCGGGCCTGCCACCAGGCACCGCCGTCAGCTCTCCGCACTACGCTTCGAACGCCGGATCGTCCGAACTCCTGATTCCTCCGCCACGACACTACCGTTCCCGAGACGAGAGCGAGCCCCCTCGCTCCCCGTCGCAGTCGGTCTACTCATCGAGGCGAACCAGCTGGGACTCGGAAGCAGGAAGCAGAGACAGCCGCGCGTATCCTTACGACCCCTTCTCTGATTCCAGAGCTCCGTCGATGGTCGGGAGCGACGATGACAATGTCAATACGCAGACGGTGTCAGAGAAGTACAACATTACGCCCTCGGAAGGTCTATTACTATTCCCCGAGGATGTGGAAAAGGACGACTATCTCCACAATCCAGACCCAAACGACAAAGACCGGGACTGCGATATATGCAATACGAGAGGCCTGGTCAACGTCGGCGGCCTTGCTCTCTTGACGCTTGGTATACTGGCGCTCTTTATCGCCTACCCTGTCGTGTATGGTGTCCCCTTCATCCCTCAAATTTTCCACCCTCGAGTTCGCCAGTCCACAAGAGATCCCTCTCCAGCTAACGTGGCTTTTTTTTTTCTCTTTGCAGGACGTTCGTGCGCAAACTCACTGAGCCGACCTATGGGTTATGTGAAGGAGACCCCATGTGTCTGGATGTTGGGAATGTTCCGTTGCTCAAGAACATTCGCTCCAGTCTCATTGATCCCGATACACCGGACTCGGCGAAGACAATCAAGGCCGCTAATGGAAAAGAGTGGCAGTTGGTGGTGAGTACGGCCATTACGATCGTGAGGTATTGGTGCTCACGTCCCAGCTAGTTTTCGGACGAGTTCAACACGGACGGGCGGACTTTTTACGATGGCGACGATCCCTACTTTCAGGGCGTGGACCTTTGGTACGGTGTGACGCAAGACCTAGAGGTTCGTGACCCTATTTGTTCTGGATGTAAGACATCCCAGGCTGATCTCTTCGGTTTTTAGTGGTACGATCCCGATGCGATTACGACGAAGGATGGAGTCCTGGAGATTCAATTCCATGCGTTTCAAAACCACAATCTGAACTATCGATCCGGCATGTTGCAAAGCTGGAACAAGCTGTGCTTCAAGGGCGGTCGTCTGGAGGCCAGTATATCCCTTCCCGGACGTGGTGACACGTCTGGTTTCTGGCCTGGTTTTTGGGCTATGGGCAACCTGGGCCGTCCTGGCTATGCGGCGACCACCGACGGATTGTGGCCGTATAGCTATGACGATGTGTGCGATGCTGGCATCACCGCCAACCAGAGCTCCACGGATGGGATCAGCTACCTTCCTGGCATGCGTCTGCCGGCCTGTACCTGTCCAGGCGCTGATCACCCTACTCCTGGCAAATCGCGGTCTGCTCCCGAAATCGACGTGATCGAGGCCAGTGTCACGGTCTTGAACGAGGAGAAAGGATATCGCATTGGAGATGTGTCCCAGAGTTTGCAGATCGCCCCGTTCGACATCTGGTACATGCCCGATTATGGTGAGTGCGAAAGGAGACAAACTCCCTCTGTGCGTGGTTGTCCTGCTGACTCTTTTTCTTCCTCTTTTGCCAGACTTCACCGCCGTCTATGATCCGAGGATCTCCCAGATCAACACGTACCGAGGAGGTCCTTACCAACAAGTTGCGTCTGGCCTAACCAACCTGAACAATGAGTGGTATGACGGCAAGGCGTATCAAGTGTATGCCTTTGAATACACACCAGGAGCGGAGGGTGATGTGACTTGGTTTGTCGGTTCCGACAAGACGTGGACGATCGACGGGCGCGCGATTGGACCAAATGGCAATGTCGGCCAGCGTTTGATTCCTGTGGAACCCATGGCGATCATTGTCAACTTTGGTATCTCCAACAGTTTCTCTGCCATCAACTGGACCGGGCTTGCGGATCTCATCCCGGCTACGATGCGCGTGGATTACATCCGGATCTATCAGGATCCCGACAACGTCACCGTCACCTGCGACCCTGAAGGCTACGAAACGACGGAATATATCAGAAAGCATCCGGAGCCGTATAACAATGTCAATTTGACTTCATGGTATGTTCATGTCCCCTTTTCCTAATTCCGTGGGATCAGTTATCGGCTAATCTCCTCTTACAGGTCTCAAGCCTATGAGTGGCCGAAAAACTCTTTTGTTCATGGATGTTGATCTCGATGATGATGTGCATGTATCCTCCACTTTCCTCTTTTTTTTTCTCCTCCTGGCCTTGTTATAATACCCTAATCTCTTGCGGCTTCTTGTGTCCTCGCTGCGAGACCTTTTCATTGTTGGGCGTATGGTAAAGGCATTGTTAGAATAGAGCCGGCCTGGTTGCATCATCTTCTCCATTCTAACCTTTCTTTCGTGTGTTGCTCTGGTGGCCTTTTTCTTTTTTTTTTCTTTTTTTTTTCCGGACTCGTTTTGATCTCTTACGAATCTGCTTCAGCGGCATGATGCTATGGAGTTGGGTGAGTTTTCTGTTTTTTTTTTGTCATTTTGTGTATACATATGCGCCGCTGTGGCTGGCAGCTCTTGAGATTGAGATTCAATGATTTACGTACGTACGTCTTTGGTGTTTGTTGTGGGACTGCCAGCAATGCCACAGCCACAGCTTTTTTTGCTTTGTCTTTCTTCTTTGTCTTCTGGCGCTATTACTTCAGCTCGTCTCATCTGTACGGCTGTTGTTGCGCTCTTCGTGGCTTAGTTACCCTTCTCGATTGTGTCAGTAGTACACACCGAACAACGAATGCAGTTGTTCTGTCTTAAGCTGTATTTCGGAATTGAGTTTCAACTTTCAAGTAAAAATAGACTGTTATTGCGATGGAAGAATTGCACCATGGTAAAGCCTGGCAGCCGCTGGAGCTTATTCAGAGCTTATCTATTCTTAGCTGTATGCATCATAAAGATCATATCCTTACGCGTAACTAACCTTGGTAGGCCTATCTTGGTGCGGATGCATGTGATGCGATCTCCCCGCACGGAGATGATGACTAAGCCATGACGCGCTGGCTGCGTCTACCTCATGACAGTCTAGGTCTAGCTTGCTTCATGGAGTTCTCGTTTAATACCAGACCACCAACGCAGAAAAGGATTTAATTATCAGGAAATTGATATCTTTGCTGCAGTGCTTCACTCGCTGGAAATCTGCCTTATGATTTTCCTTGGGCGAAACAGGCTCTGTCAATGCGAATCTTGAATGATCGGATCAGATCAATCACCCTTCTGCATGCACCAGAAGTGCAGTCCATGTCCTAGGTATTTCACAGGAGTGAGCTATTAGTTGTGCTATTAGCAGGTGCAGTCTCTTTCTACTACAGTCGCTCTGCTTGCTTGATCAACTCCCGTCACTAGCATAAGCTGCAGAAGCTTGCGCTGCTTTCTCAACAACCTACTTGATTGATTGAAACTTGTTGTGTGTATTGAGCGGACTGGGACTACATTGGGGCATGGTCTCATAAATCGTCTCTCTCTCTCTTCTTTTGCTTCTGCTTTGCTCCATATTTATTTATTTCTGAATTGATTGATTGATGGTGGAATGAAAGAGGCCAATGATATCTTGATATTGCCGGTCAGAAAAACAAAGCAAAGCAAGAAAGCAAAGCAAGCAAAGCACCCGCATTAGCCCTTGTGGTTGAATACCAGACAAGACGACGTGTTCCGGACTTTACTACTCACGCTATCAATTTGTGCAAGGAAAGAGAGAGGCTCATTTTCATTTCGAGTGAGATATTCAGACACGAATCATGCCTCCACCGCCAGTTACTCTCCCTGGCATGATGTTTACGTCCGGCGCAAGCATGGGTCCCACTGGCTATACCACTACTTCTGCGGGAGCAGGTAGCCGGGCAGACCGTGCGATTGTCATCGATGATGACGACGATGTTGTTGATGTGATGCAGATTGATGCATCCTCCTCGAGGCCTGGAGGTGAGTTTACCGTTAACAATTGACTACCTTGCCCGCTCTTCTTGCTATTATTATTATTATTATAAACTAGCTCTGACTGTTCAAAACCACAGGAGGATACAATCTCTCTGAACGGCAGCAGCGGCTTTCTGCAAGCTATGCCGCCGCGATGGCCCAGGAGAAGAAAGTGAGGAGCAAACTCCGTGAGGAGAGACATACAGCACAGTGCGTGCTCATGGACCGGGAGCTTCTGATGGTCCATGCTTTGGCTGCACATGAGGTATGCATCCTTTGAACTTTTTTTCTCGTCCTGTCAAATATTCTTTCGTTCTTCCTTCCCTAACAAACGTCCATCCAACCAGACCATCCCCCAAACCCGTCGACGCTTTCTCGCCCAGCTCATCGCCCCCGACAATCCCGCCGTCGCCGCATCCATCCGCGCTGACCGCCGTCTCGCCATCCCTACCACCAGCGGCCCCTCCTCCTCGTCATCATTGTCATCGTCAACCGTCCCCATTATTCCCCAGCCGATAGTCGACGTCTACGAAGACGACGACGCGGGCTGGCGCCGCCCTCCCGGTTCGCCACCAGGAGGAGGAGGAGGAGGAGGATCATCAGGCCGGTCCTCATCAAAGGGCAAAGGAAAAGGCAAGGGCAAAACGCCCGAGCGGAACCGCGAGCGTAGTAGTGCTATTAGTGCCAAAGGCAGCAGGGAGAGGTGTGGGGACCACCAACAGCAGCAGCAGCAGCAGCGACATCTCGAGCGCGAACGCCGACGACGATGGAGCGGCGGCGGGCGGGATCATCGACACGAGCACGAGCATATCAATCTGGAATCGTCGGATGTGGATGTGGATGTGGATATGGATATGACGGGAACGGGTACAGGAACGGGAACGGATACCTAGAGACGGGCAATCGCCATGAACTGTTTAGTTTAGTTTAGTTAGTTGGTTACTACTACGGAGTAAGGAAGGTTGATATATGCTATAGCATAGCATAGCTGTTTGGTTTGTTGATAGTCTAGTCTGTTAGTCTGCTTTGTATGAATAATAGAATGATGATGATGATGACGAAAAAAGCCCTTGGTTAATTTAGTGACCGGTTCTGTCGAGTATACCATACGGTTTTTTTTACTGGAAGGAAAAGGAAAAGGAAAGTATTGAGAAAATAAAAGTGAATGGTTTTTTTTCCTCCAGCTACATACATACCTAAAAGTACCATAACCTAACATAGTGCTGTACTATAATGTACATACATGCATGTATTCATGTATTCATATCATATTGCAGGGTATGGTATGGTATTTCATGAATAGTGTCTGCTTGCTGGGAACAAGCAAACAAGAAAGAAAATGAAATGAACAAAATAAAACAAACAAACAAACAAACAAATATGCAGGCAGTCAAGCAAGCAAGCAAGCACAATATGAAGGAATAATAACAAGACAATTAAAAAAGTCCATGCATTCCGTTTTATTCCTCGTTCCTTCATTGGAATGGAAAAAAAAACAAAAACAATCCCTTGCTTTAGCCTTTTTTTTTGTTTGTTTGTTTGTTTTTTTTTGTTCCCTCTCTGCATGCCTTGCCCTTCTTTCCTTCATTCATTCCTCCATTGACGATGAGTCTGGGCAAGCGGTAAAACCGAACCTTTTGAAAAAGGAGAAGTGAAAAATAAAAATAAAAATCAATATGCAGGGTAGTCCTCTCGTCTTTCTCTTTCGTTGCTTTTGGCCTCTTGCAACAAATGCGAAATGGGTAGTATGTATTAAAAGGAAAATATGATGAAACAAAACGTATGATATACTGTACAAGTGGGGTTTGGGTCAGTTTACCCAAGGTTGATTGATGATCATGTCGCAGTCCATCCTGCTGGAAGGACATTTAATTCATATAGCAGGCACGTTTGGCAGAGTGCACCGTCGAGCTCATGTCAGGATTACCTGCTTGTTGAGGAACCATGGACAGTTGTGTAATCCACGGCTTTTCCTGTCGCTGAGGATCCCAACTTCTTTCCAAAGAATAATCCTGGTAGGAAGAGTTCCGCAGGAATAATCTGGTCCCGCTGCGTCGGCACTGGCAGTACGGCCATAGCTGCCCAACGTCCACCATGATGGCGCGTGCGAATTGTACCCGTGCTCATCGAGACGGCGCATGGATGACGCTCTCCGCGTCTCCGACCTGTTTGCGTTCCGAAACCTCCCTGTTCCGCACCCTCGAGCGGAGCGCTTGCACATTCATAGGCGTCAATCCTTGGGACGGCGGTGCCGCTGGAGGCTCCGGATAGAATGGATGTAACCGAGGGAATGAAGTAAACCGTGCACGACCGTCCCTCATGACTGGTGATTGTCATTGCAGAGGCTCCGAACTCGACGACAGCCGGTTGAGATGAAGGTAGACGTCAGTGCCATAACTATGTTTTGTTAGCAGGATAAATCCGAAACAAGAAAAAAAAAGAACGACATACCCCTCCATACTGATCAGCTTTAGATCTCCACCGAAATATCTGGCGTACAGACGACTGATGGGCAGGCCATACCCAAACCCGGCCATGGGCGCCTTGAAGTCGCTCTTGTCAAAGTTTGGGTCTAAGCTCGGAGTCTGGTCGACGGTGGTGTACATGTATGTCCAAACCAGAGGAATTGACGATCGAGGGATGCCACCACCCTCGTCGGAGATCTTGATCGTGATGTCCTCTCTGCCCTCCGCAACAATGACTTTGATCACAGGGAACTCTTCCTTTTCAGCACCGTGCGTCTCCACCACAGCGCGCAAGGAGTTCTTAAGAGTCTCGAAGAGCATGTGCGACAGATGTCCCGGCACGTACATGAAGTGCAGGTCCGGCTTGCAGATCAGCTGCACCTTGGGGGCTTCGAAAAGTCCATAGTGGTCTTCACAAACGAATCGCGCGTTCTCGATCGCTTCGAGCGCCACTTCCCGGACATTGGTCTTGGTGCAAATAATCCCAACATAGTTCGGATGATGTGCGTGGGTTTGCTCGGTCAAGGCAACATGCTGGCCGATCAACATCCGTATTCCAATCCGTGACATATAGAAGCGGTCAAGAAAGGCCTGGATCGTGGAGTCGATCTGAAGGCGCTGTCGCTTCCGCTTATATTCCAGGATACCCTGTGCCACTGTGGTCACGACACCGTCGTGTCTCCGCTTGATGTTTTTGAGCGTTTTGGCAAATCGTTGGTTGTAGTCATCGATTTCTGGAGGCCAGTCGCCTCCGTCATCAGACGGTACGAAATATCTTCGAGTGCCCACTGATTTGACGTCCGGACTGGACCGGTACTGTCCCTCCTTGACACTGGGGTTCCAGGTTGTTTCACTCAGAATCTTCGACTCGCCACCATTTCCTTTGCTGGACCGCATCAGGCGTTCCCTAACCTCTTGGCTCAAAGTGGGTTTGGGAACATTGATGATTTCCTGCGGTTGTCAGTCGCCGTGCCGCAACAAGCGCGCCGAAGTAGTCGTGACACACGAACCTCAAACGACATTGCATACCAGTCCTGGACCTTCTTGATCGAGGGCATCTCATTGAGCCCGTCTGGTAGTTCATTCAGCTCCTGCACCCGGTGAGCCAAGCGGATCGGGAGCTCTTCAGAGAGAAACTGTGAGGCACGAAAAAGAGTCCCTAAGCAAGTCAAATCGCCCGTTAGTGTTCGCTGTTCTCTTTCTGGGCAGTTGTAGAGGACAATTCTCCTTACCAGGTGATGGCCTCTCTCCGAACTGGACCATCTGCCTGAGGGAGACTCCGGTTGCGGGGAAGCTGGCATAGTGCCGGATGGTCTCCATCAACTTGTCCGACGCCTTCCACATGGTGCAAGCTGCCCTTCAGGCCCTCAGGCCTGCGGTGTAACTCCAGAATCCAGCAATTCTTTCTTCTTCAATTGAACTGAGCGGGTCGCGTGGTGGGCAAAGGGTATCGAGTCATAGCCTGTGAGTAATAACCTTAGCGGTCGGACAAAGACGGGTAGCTTTCCCCGCCATGCGCCGGGGAAGACGGTACCGAGGTCGAACGGCGGTCCGGGGCCAGCGCCCGAGTGAGGAGTGGTCGACTCCGTAACAATGCACTGGAATCCAAAAGTATATGGGGTAAACTAGTGCTGCAGGGCTCAGAGCAGACGAGAAGTGCGACTGTCGTCTCAACTGGAGCAGTTTGTCGTTTCTCAGCCGAGGGACGATGACTTAAGCGGGTCAGGTGTTTGACGATCACGTGCTCCAGCGTTCGGCCAGGACCGGCAGCGCGTGAGGGGAAACACAGAAAGGGAAAACTCTCCCCCCGCAGCTGTGATCTCTGATAAGGACTTGATCGCTCGCTACTTATTTCTTTATGTGTAGCCGGTGGGTTTCTGGCTCAACAATGACAGCGACGTTTAACGCCAAACAAGACAATCGCGAATGGCAGACGGGCTGGCCAGAGGCAAGAAGACTGACTCCTTTCGACCGACGAGCCCTTCTCCCGACGCGAGCGGCAGTACCCCACAGCCGGTGCTTCCTCAGGCCACAACACGATCTGGGGGCCGGCCAGGCAGGCCATCTGCGCAGCGAAAGAGGCCTCAGTATACTGACAAGTATATATGCTTATTTATGACGTAACACAACGCCAGCCATCCATGTCGACATGGGAACACAGAAGGCTGTTATGCGAGGATTGCCAGAGCTGCTGTCGTTTTTAATTCGAGCTCCCCACCTGTCAAACCGTAGCTGCCTTCTGTGTCACACCTGGCCATGCTCGAGTAACCATATCGGCTGTTCCCCATACGGGCGAGTCTGGAGGCGATGAGGGGCAGTACAACGGAGGATTGATCAGCGTGACCTTATGCTGCCGTAGTCTGCAGTCCTCACCAACAAGCTCGAGGGTCTGCCGCAATAAGGCGCCGGAAGTGTCAGTCCGGCGGCCCGCCTGAGATGGGCGCGGTTAAGCGTCTAGCTCTGTCGCTAATTAATTGCTCGACGGCACCCCACTGTTTGATGTGAGCATGAGGATGCAATAATAACGACCAGAAGGCTAGAGTTCCCAAGTCATGCGGGCTGGGTGGTTTGGCTAGACTCCTGAGGCCTCGAAGTCTGGCCGCCGGCCAAGTAGTGCCTGCAGGGATGCAGCACACGGCCACGAGCTGCTGCCAGGTTGCGCAGGCATCCCGTTCGTCATGCCAGATCCAATCGCAGGTCCGGGAGACCATATTTATCCCAAAGGCGCTGCGGTGCTCGACCGGCCGAGTCCCATCGCTCCCCGTCCCTCGATAAAGTTGTCGACGATGCCAGTGCCACCAGCCAGAGCTGTTCCGGATACGCTGTCTTGGATTCTTGGTCCCCCTCCTGCGGCCTGGATGGTTCGGCGCCGGGGTTCACTAAGAAACGCCGAAACGGTCGTGTTTCTATCATCTCCTTCCGCGTAGAGTGTGTTGCATTATGGTGGAGTCCTGACACCTGGCTCGCCCACATCGCGTTCCCTAAGCTTCCGTCACTCCTGTGGTTGCTGGCGGATTGCTCCGTCTCGATTGGCCGCAGCCGGCGAGCTTTGGGTTGACGGCCGTCCTCGTCGATACTGCAGGGAATCGGAATTGGTGCGGCTAAAATAAAGAATGGTATCAGCTGCGGTTCGTCCGAGTCAGCGTCTAGCAGAGAACTAAACACCCTCCGTCGTGCGGTTCATGCTGGGGGCCTGGCGTCGACTGCATGAGTGGATGAATCAGCCATGTTCTGGGCGCGTCTCGTCTGACAGCCCTGTCGTCTCCGTTAGTATGACTCCCCCTTTTTTTTGGCCCTTTCGGACTTTTCTTTTCTTTTCTTTCTTTTTTTGTGTTTTGTGGGTATGGACTTACGGCGAATTGGACGGGAGCTCCATCTTTGTCTCCATCATTCTCACCTCCATTGATCTCTATTTTGGTCCCCTCTCGGCAATTTCCCCTTAATAATTAGTATCCTGCAGGGCGGCAAAGCACCCACCTGGTGAAGTATTCTGGAAGTAGTTGTCTTCGACCTCGATTCGCAATTTTCCCGGGGCCGTTTAAATCGGGTGTTGTAGTTTTGGTTCACTCCGGGCGTTTTGACCCCTCTCAAGTCACTGCTTGGTCTCTTTGTGCGTCTTTCGCCGCCAAATCAGTGAAAGACTAAGAAAAAATCCACCCACACGCACGACCACGCTCCCAGCGCTCCAGACTATTTCTATTGCGCATCCCTCTGTCCAAATGTGAGAATTGAGAACAGATGCATCCGCTTTCTTCATCCAGGCCATCTCTTCTCTTGAACTAGTGGTCTGCGCTGGGTGCGTGCTTGTTGAGGACCACGATGTGGCGTCGTCGTCCCTCTCAGAGCGAACCAGCATTACCAGCGTCTAACCCAGCACACGCCTACCCATTTTCCAATCCATCAGGCTCTGCTCCAATGTCTCGTCGAGGCCCTATCGAAGGCCCTTACGGACATCGACTGACTCGGCGGGTCACCTGGCGCTCGTCCACCTACAAGCTCGTCGCGTACCTTTATGTGCTCTTTGTCTTGTATCTTGTTTACTTGATACGCGATCTTTTCTTCCTGCCATTCTCCTCATCGTTCACGTCCTCAGGCGGGGCGAATGTCCCCTCTGACCATGAGTAAGTATGGTGCCCTGACCATCGTTCAGCTCCTCCTCTAAGAGAGCTCTGGTTTACCTTTATCATGGTGAATGACTCTATCTAACCCACTGCATTACTCTAGCTACCTGGCTCACTTCAGAGGCCGTCAAGAATGTGGCATCTCTTCCCTCTCTCTTTACAATCCTCCCTCCGCGAATGACCATGAGCAGGAGCTGAGGGGCGCTTATTGTCAGAACCGAACCTCTTTGCTCGATGCGCTGAACAATGGAGGACGACAGGGATTCGATGCTCCCTATACGCCTCAAGGTTAGATCTCGTCCTTCCAAACGTTCCAGCGACTCGTGTCACTGACAGCTACTGTTGACTAGGTTGTCATTATCGGTGGTACACCACTGAGGAAATATGCAATATTCTGGATCGCTTTGACAAGGTTATCTTCCTTGGCGACGCCAACCTTGCTGACATTTACGCCGCATTCAACATTCTCCTCCGGCAAGATCTGGTGCACGGTTCGTTGAGACAGTGGGAGATGAGCAAGGAGCGACTCGAAGCATGTAAATGCGACTATCAGTTCAGTCGCGACCAATGTTCGCTGTATCGCCTGCGCTCCAGCGACGAAGTCTATTCGAACGCGAATCAGAATCCTTACTCATGTCCTTCTGGTGAGATTTTTGTTGTCATTGCTCTCTTGCTTATCCTTTACTGACTTTTTTTCCTGGAACTAGGAGTATCCCACAAATTCTTATCGATAAGCGGCTCTCCCGCCCCATCTGGCGTCCGGGAGGTTTTCAATTGGTTGCTTGTCAAGTCAGCAAACGGCAAGAAGCCTATTCCCGTGATCCATGGTTTGACGCAGCAAAATGCGATTTCCAGTCTGGACGAGTGGCTGCGACTGGCCAGGTCCAGCGGACGTCGTGTCCCATTCCTTTGGGTCGGGCCTCCTGCAGCTGGCAATTTGAAGGACTCAGAGTATCTGGCGACTAAAGGCGGCGGTGCCGTCTCGCGTTATACGCTTGACACGATCGAGGCCGTTCGACAGAGGGGCGTAGACGCTCTGGGAATGTACAATGCGACAGTACAGGCGGCCAGTTTGGATGGTTCTCACTACGGCGAGAAGACTTCACTGGTGCAGGCTATGATGGTAAGTCGGCCCCTCTTTTCATCAACTCTTAATTTCTTGTATACAATGCGGGGATGAATGCTCATGTCGATTAGGTTATTAATTGGTTGGCCCATCTCGACGTCTGATGATCTGTCGGTGCAATTGTCGCGAGACACGGAAATGTGCCTGCCTGATGAATTCGCCGGTCGCAAGGAAATGACCACGATACCCGATCTAGATGGACATGCCTTTCATGCCTAGCGTTTACGACGATCATGACCGACTGTATGCTGCTCAACAAACAAATCTTCATTTTCGGAGTTTTTTCATTCTTCAGCATGTCGCAGGATAGCAGGATATCAAGATTCCCTCTTAGTCCTGTGATTTTTTTTTTGATCGATACGACCATTGCCCTTTCTCGCCCCTTTTCCCCCTCTGACTTTTTGACATTATGATAATGATGGCGTTTTCCCCTCCCCTATGTTTCTCTTTCAGTGCACTTTCGGGGTCCGTGATGACATTCAGCAAAATGGTCTCTGATCTAGATTGACGTTGAATTAAACCACTAAAAAAGAACGCATGCAGTCCCATCTTCTTTCAGGACAACCAGGGAAAGAGAAGATAAAACAGAAAGAATGTGATGTGATGTGATTGATGTCTTTGATGAACCGATATTAGATCAGACCAGATCCAGAAAGGAGCAAGCATGGCACTCTATTTGATATTGGGATTGATTTATGAAACCTTTTCATGCCGTTTAAAAATGTTTCCCCTTTTCCTCCGGCACGTTTTTTACCCCCTTAGTATTTTTTTTAATATGCAAGACAGCTTTTACTTTAAAATCGAATCGATTTCTTGCCTTCTATCTATTTGCGTCGCGTTCTCTAATTAATGTAGACTGAGTACTTAATTATCACTGAAGATATTCTCCTTCGATGTAGGCTAGAAGCAGTAGTTCTCTGTCAAAGACGCCTACCAACAGAGTCGCCTAATTTTTCTTTCACCTCTTAGCAGGGTTCAAGCGTGAGCAGCAGACGATCTGATCTGAGTTCCCCGGCATGCATGTCTAGCCTGCAATCGACACATCCAACGCTAACCCCGCCACCCCCACTGCCTCAACGTGTCATGCGAAAAAACCGTGTCAGGATGATCGGGCCCCAGTCTTGCTCTCCGCAACCGGAAGCACTTCGCCATCAGCTCCATGGCGTCTTTGTTGCGCCCAAGAGACTTCCATGTCAGCGCAAGATTCGCCATGGTGATCAGCGTAGACGGATGCTCCTCTCCTAGCACCCGTTTGCTGGTCTCCAGGACTTGCTTGTCT